CTCTCTCTCTGCCTTTCTCTCTGCCTCTCCTTTAGTACTGTCTATCTCTTGCTACCTCATTCTTCTTCTCTCTCTCTTCCTTTCTTTCTCTCTCTCTCCCTCCCTATCTCTCCTCAACTCTCTCGTCAGTACTCTCTCTGCCCCTCTCTTCCCTGCGGTTCTTCTCTCCCATTGTCGCTGTGGTTATGTATGCAGCCTTTGAGTTGATCTCTTGTCTTGCGGTTGTGGCATATGTCATCATCTATCTTCAAGGTGCTGTCCCGTCAGCTGATCCTCCTGAGTCCTGGTTGAGATTAGCTTCTTATCCAGGAGCGGGAGTCCTTGCTTGGCCCGGTTGGCCGGCAACCAGGAGCGGGGCACAGGGTAGGGGGCTGAGGTCGAGGGTAAGGGGTGGCAGGCGGCGTGGCCGGATCTGATTGGGGGGCCAGGGGCAGGGAGGTAGGGACTGGCGGAGGGAGAGGGGGAGGGTGGGGGCAGAGCAGGTGCTGGGATTTTACGGAGGGTTTAGGGGTTAAAGGACTTGAGTTTTGATTCTAGCTGTTGAGCAGGATGAAGTTTGTCGGTTGATAGGTGATGAGTCTGATGACGAAGTGCTCTCTTGGGAGGCGTGCCCATTGACTTTCTTTGGTCAACCAACCACGGTTTCCAATGCAGGTGGTTGTGTTGGTCCAATCCGCAGAGCCTCCCGGCAGTATCCACCCATAGGAGGTGGAAATTAGCTGAGAGGTCATTTCGTTTTATCGCATCCGGCTCTGCTGCCAGCATTTGTTTGAGGTCTTTCCTCGCTGCATGCATGTTGGCTGTGATGGTTTGCGCAATTGAGGTCTTGGCCTCCATAAATCCGTAGGTGTGTTGCTTGTGTTGGTGTGCACATCTCGTACGAAGCCATACCACCATCACCATCGGCGGGTTTGTGCTGTTGAAAAGATTGGTCATAAAGGGTGACCACCGGTATGCTTGCGGGGCTGTGTCCCCCAGGAGGATGGTTTGGGGATGCCATGGCAGATGCAAGTCATGCGACCCTGTTAGATAGTTCCCACCAGCTCCAGAGCTGCGCCACCATTGGACATTCCATCTGGCAATGCTCCAGTGAGGCTTGTTTCTTGGGGGAGGAATTACCTCAGTACTTGCACAGCAGGGATAACAGATCCCGAATCTCGAGGTTGGTTCTGGATGTCGACCAGTCTGGCATGGGCAGGCATCTGTGTATGATCTGCCACTTCCTAAGTTCCCTTCTTTAAACCGGCTAGAGATGCAATTCCCACCCACCAGAAAAGCTAGTATCAGCGTCCCTGATCCACTCACCAAATCACATTTTTGATGAGTGGGCGTGGCCGGACACACTCACCTCATGATTGTGGCACAAAATCAGGAGTGGAAGTCATGCTTGGGCGTAGGCGAGATCTTTCCAAAGACGAGTCTTTCCCTGCCTGCAGCTGTTTCCTTGGAGTAACCTCTCTGGGAACCACCACACTTGGTTGGTTTTCTTTTCCAGGACCTTCGGACCGCCGGTCTGGAGAGAGAGGCCTTGCAGCACTCAGTAACACCAAAAATGCATTGCATGTGGACACATTTACAAACCCATAGATGGCACCCCCCCACCTGCGCATTGACCAGGCATGAACCCATCACATGATGAGTAGAGCCTTGGTGACATTTGGTGTAAGGACAACCCCACACTTGACTTGCCAAGCACTGCCAACTTCTGTACCTGAACGCGATTCTAAAGCCCTGCGTTCTGCTATTTATTTCTTTTGGATCACTCACTGGCTTTGAAGTACCTACTTTTTGGCAAGTGGGTAGTGCATGGAATCAATGGCTGCTGAAGCCCTCCCACTTCAAAGAGGTTGTTTTTCTCAGACTTTTTCAGAATTTTTCTTTTCTTCAAACAACGAATTTACGTAGGAATTACGCGCACCTTAGCAGCGCGCTAGGAATTCTGTTCGGCAGTTGGGAAATCCGAAATTTGCAGGCACACTTCCGTCTGACGTGTCCTTTCTTAAACATGAGTGTTCCCAAATCCGCCTCGGAAAGGCCGGGAAAGCTCTGTGAATTTCCTAAAGAGATCTGAATAGACGGATTTTCGCGCATTCAATTCCGCGCGCAGATATTGCTTTTCAGAATTTCAATCTTGAACTAGTTTTAGAGCTGGGATAGAGTCGATGGACAGATCGTAACTGTTTCGGTGCCTTTTTGTTTCTCTGTCGGCGCCATGCATGCAAGCTTCCCCCGCTTCCCGCTGCATCCCAAAGCATCTTCACCTTTCTCTTCTTCGTGCCTTCTCCCCTTGACCCATTACTGTTTTCCATCCCCTTTCCCTTTGCACTTCTTTCTCTCTCCCTCCATCTAAATCTTTGTCCCGCTGTGTCGTCCCCCGTACGTCGTATGGGGGGTCTCCGTACGGCCTGTCTGTACGGACGTACAGACGCCCGTACGGCCGTACGGACGAGGGCCGTACGAGG